ACTATAAATGATAGGCAGGGGGGCAGGTGGATTGCTGTGAATTCAAGGCCAGTCTGGTCTGCAGTGAGTTCCAGGACAGCTAGCTACACACAAAAACTGTGTCTCGGAAAACTAAAAGGGGGCAGTGTGTGTGTGTGTGTGTGTGTGTGTGTGTGTGTGTGTGTGTGTGTGTGTGTGTGTGTGTGTGTTCACAACACACATGGACATGGACCTCAGAGTGTGGTGATATCTTGCTTGTAAATGGGCACCAAAGAACACCCTGTGGGTCCTGGGATTAAACACAAGCTTTGTGATAAATGCCTTTAACCAATGAACCATTTCACCAGCCTCTTACTACTTTTAGTAGTTGGTTTGAGACAGGGTCTCACTATGTGGGTCTCACAAGCCCTGCCTTGGTTAGATTTTAATACGTAGAGCAGGCCGGCCTTGAACTCACAGAGATCTGCCTTCCTTGTTTCCTGAATGCTGTAATTAAAGGTATGTGCTACCATGGCAGTTTATTTTTTGATAGTTAAAAAATATCACTGGAAGGGGCTGGAGAGATGGCTCAGAAGTTAAGAGTACCAGCTGCTCTTCCAGAGCTCCTGAGTTCAATTCCCAGCAACCACATGGTGACTCACAACCACCTGTAATGATCTTTGGCGCCCTCTTCTGGCCTTCAGACATACATGCTGGTAGGACACTGTATACATAATGAATAAATCTTAAAAAAAAAAAAAAAATCACTGGAAGGGCTGGAGGCATGGCTCAGTGGTTAATTAGCACTGGCAGCTATTCCAAAAGACTGAATTCTATTCCCAGCACCCACATAGTAAGTGACTCACAACTGTCTGTAACCACAGGCACCGTACACACACATGGTACACGCAAGGTACACAGACATACATACACACAGGCAAAACACCCATACGTATAAACAAAATCTCAAATATTAAAAAAAAAAAACTATCACTGGAGAGATTAAAGAGGTAGGTGTGTTGATGGTTAAAAGCACTGACTGACTGCTCTTATGGAGGGCCTAGGTTCAGTTTCCAGCACACACATGGAGGCTCAAAACTCCAGTCCTAGAGGAACCAATGACCTCTTCTGGCTTCTGTACACACCATGTACATGATGTGGTGCACAGGCGCGCACACACATACAAAACACTCATAGATCTAGCTATATTTGTATCTGTCTATCCATATATCTATCTATCAAGATAGTTCTAGGCATGGTAGCAGCACACTATAATCCTAGCACCTTGGGAGGTGGGGCTTCAAGCTCAGCCTTGACTACTTATCAAGTTTGAGGGTCGGCTTGAACTACATGAAATCCTGTCTTAAAAGCACTAAAAATAGGCCCAGCAGTAGTGGTATACACCTTTAATACCAGCATTCAGGAGGCAGAGGCAGGCAGATCTCGGAGTTCGAAGCCAGCCTGGTCTACAGAGTTTCAAGACAGCCTGGGCTACACAGAGAAACACTATCTCAAAAAAAAAAAAACCTAAAAAACAACACAAACAGTAAAAATAAATAGGCAAATAAATAAATACAAGAGCAGGTTGTCCCTTGTGCTCAGTGGAATACAGCCACCCCATCCATGGTCTAGCCCAGGACAGTGAGTGCAGTGTGTATCTCAGTGGTGGGCCTCCTTTTTAATTGCAAATCTGAGCTGCAGTGTAATAAACTGGTGGAGAAAACCCCCATATCTTCTCATTGCTTGGGGATGCAGCCAGAGATTCAGTAGAGCCCCTCCCTTTGGGGTAGAGCAGTGGTTCTCAACCTATGGGTCACAACTCCTTTGGGGTTGCCCATTAGATACTCACATTAGTATTCATAACAGTAGCAAATTTATGGTTATGAAATAGCAATGAAATAATTTTATGGCTGGGGAGGTCAGCACAGCCATAGGTTGTAACCTTAGGAAGGCTGAGAACCACAGAGGATGATGCCATGTTGATAAAGACAACCAGTGGTGTCTGGAGCTTCAGGACCACTGGCTCTGCCACCTTAAACCTACTATACTAATAAATAAAAGGGATGACAGACCCTCTCTCACATCCCCTTCCACACTTGCCCCTTCCTCCCACCAGGTTCCCAGCACTGAGCTCAGTGTGCCTCTGACAGAAGCAGCCAGGACCTCAGGCAGGCTTCCCGCAGCAGCAGAGGGCAGGAAAATGCTGACCAACTGCCCCAAGGCAGGCTGTGCTACCAACAACAAACACTGATGTGCTGTCTCCAGCAGCAAACAAACTAAATACTCTTAGTTGTAAGCACAGGAGCACAGGATGAGAGGAGGTTTCCTTTGGATCCTAAAAGAAGGAAGGCTGTGTTTGCCTGACTAGGCTCAGAAAACAGACTCTTTGTTCAAACACTTTGAAGCCTGTTTTGATGTAAGAGGATGCTATGCTGGCCATTTTTAATTTTTGTACCCACATAAAGTTCATGGTTGGTGATGTTTCTTTCTTAAAACATTTTAGAATTTATTCCTATTGTGAAAGGAAGCAATCCAAACTATATTAAAATGAGTATTGAATGATATGCCTCAAGAAAGTTGTGGAGCTTTCTCTTGTACAATAAAGGTACAGGCTAAAATTAGAGAAAAATGCAGCAAATATACTGAGAGCCAGTCAACTCAGGTCCAAACAGATTCGGGATTTCATTGTCTTCTTTTGCCTTCATCATGGACTCTGACTATATAGGGTGGTTTTTCTTTTCTTTCTGAGAGGCAGTTTCAGGTTGTCTGGCCTAAACTTGCTGTAAAGCCAAAGATGACCCTGAGGAGTTCCTGGTTTTCCTCAGGGACTGCAAACTGTCACAGTAGGCATAGCTGTCAACTTGACACAGACCTAGAGACTTGGGAAGAGGGACATCAACTGAAGAATTACTTTAATCAAATTGACCTGCGGCCATTGTCCATGGGGAATTTTCTTTTCTTCTTCTTTTTTGTTCATTTTGTTCTGTTTGTCTTTGTTTTTCTGTTTGTTTGTTTTTTTCAAGACAGGATTTCTCTGTTTAGCCCAGGCTGTCCTAAAACTCTCTCTGTAGACTACACTGCCTCAAACTCAAGAGATCCACTTGACTCTGCCTCTGAATGCTGGGATTAAAGGCATGCTTGAGGCATTTTATTAATTGCTAACTAATGTAGGAGAGCCCAGCCCATTGTAGTTGATAGCTGAAAGAGCCAGCAAGCAGCCTTCTCTCACAATCCATGTTTCTGCTTCAGCTCCTGCTCTGGCCTCCCTCAACAATTAACTGTAACTTGTAAGCTGAAAGAAACCCTTTCCTCCCCAAATGCTTTTTGTCAAATGTTTAACACAGCAACAGAAAAGCAAACCAGAACACAAGAATGCATGACTATGGGTGGGTATTGGTGGCGTACGCCTTTAATCCCAGCACTTGGGAGGCAGAAGCAGGAGGATCTCTGTGAGTTTGAGAACAGCCTGGTCTACAGAATGAGTTCTAGGAGAAATAGGGCTGTTACGCAGAGAAACCCTGCCTCAAAAAAAGTTCCAGGACAGGTTCCAAAAGATTACAGAGAAACCCTGTCTGGAAAAAACAAAACAAAACAAAAAACAAACAAGGAAAAAAAAAAAGTGTGCATGACTATGCCTGGCTTTGGGTTAAGTTTCTGGAGAGCACCAGTTGGGGAAGAGTTCATATCAGAAACCAACAGATTCTTATAATTTTCTGCTTCTTGTTAAGTTAAAAGACTGTGAACACAATACACTAAATCCTTACCTGTGTCTCCTGGCGCAAACCAGCATCTTCACCCTCTTTTTCAACTTCTTCCTTACTTGGAGTTTTAGTTATAAATTTGCTTTTGTTTACAGATTCTTCCACCAGTTTTTTTTCTGATTCTTTCATTATTTCCAGAGTCTCCTGAGTAGTGTTACTGTTAGACATGTTCTGCAGTGGAGACAGCCGTTTCTAGGGGTTCCTGAAAACACCAAAGGCAACAGATGAGAGGTACAGCTACACACACACACACACACACACACACACACACACACACACA